GATTACGGTCGATCCTGGGTGTTGGGAATGTCCGGTAGTCTTACAGTCCCAGTTGGCCTTGGTCTGGTCGTATAGACCCATTACATCGATGCTGCGGCGGCCATGCGAGGTTGCGAGGATAGTCTTGGGGTCGACGCCGAGTTCGGCGCCAATTCTGAAGCGGAATTTATGTTAGAGATTCTGTTTGCCGAGGTCATAGTGGGGTGGCTTCATCACTCACTTGTGCCAATGCTTCACGATTGCTGTTTGATACCAGATAGTTAGCATTGGTTCCAATCGATCCTAGAGGGACTCGAATGGGGATCAAATACCATCAGTCGAGTCCACAATTGTGCCATCGAAGTCAGAAAGAAGGCCATCGAATGTGTGGACCTGCGCAGGCGCGGAAAACGATCCTGTTGTTAAGGACATGGTGGGGGAAGATGCGGGGAGAGTAGATGCGCGGAGTCAGTGATGAGTAGATGAGAAGCCGATGTTGAGTGAAATACAAGAAGAAATCTCTTGGGAATCTTCTCGGAAGTATCAACAGCAAGAGAAACAGGAACTTAAGACAAGATAATAGAGGCTAAGGCATCATCAAATAATTTATTGCTTATCCCCCTCCAAAGCCGGGTACTTACCTAATTTGGCAAATGTCCCGCATAATTAGTCATCTAAAATTTATCGGAGATCGGCCCAACTGCTAATCCGCTTATCGGCTGGGAAATCTTGGCACTCAACTTTTTCTACTCCCGTTGCGGACAGACTTTGAGGGTTTGCTGTGCACTTTTTTGCGATCAACAATTACGTGCATTCAAAATGGTTACTAAGAGCGGATTCGGTATGATACTCTTTTTTACCCCTCGCTCACGCGGTACTGAGGCGCAATTCTAACGGTCTACAGGCAAGACTTCCAAGCGGGTTCCCGTCCGCCTGAGGCACAAGATTGAAAAGTCTGCTGTTCAGAAGCAAAGAAAGGCAAAGAAGCTCGCAAAGAAGGTAGCGCAGACAAGATCTCCATAACAGTTCGGATCGAAGGTTCTGACTATTTTCTCTACAGAACCCTGAATGGCGGTCAAAGATTAAGAAGGATCCCGGCATTCCCAATCTCTTCCCCAACAAGGACAAGCTTCTTCATGACATTGAAGAGCGCAAGCGCATGAAGGCCGAGGAGCAACAGCGCATTCGGGAGGAGGCACGAGCCCGCAAGACTGAAGGCCTGCCCGCGAAAAGTGGCACTGAGGGTGTCGATATTGACGAGAACGATATGCTGTTGGATGATGATATGGATGCCGATGGCAATGATTCGAACCCCATGGCTGCTCTTCTCGCCTCAGCACGCGCCCGTGCCTCAGAATACGAAGAAAACCAAAGCGAAGACGAAGACGAGATGGAGGAAGATGATGACGATGATGATGATGAGATGGACGAGGACGATGAGGAGGGCGGCGCAACTATTACCGAATCTGCTCCATTGGTCAATTCTAAGTCTTTCTCGAAGGAGAGCTCGCGACGCCAATTCGACAAGGTGTTCAAGCAAGTCACCGACAACGCCGATGTCGTCCTATACGTGCTCGATGCCCGCGACCCCGAGGGCACCCGCTCTAAGGACATTGAGCGCGAGATCATGATGGCAGATGGCGGTAACAAGCGGTTGATTCTTATTTTGAATAAGATCGATCTGGTTCCGCCCCCAGTGCTCAAGGCCTGGTTGCTTCACCTGCGTCGCTCCTTCCCCACTCTCCCCCTCAAGGCATCCAGCGGCACCACTGCCAACGCACACAGCTTCGACCACAAGCAATTGACGGTCAAGGGTACTTCTGATACTCTCTTCCGCGCCCTTAAGTCATATGCCGGTGCCAAGCAGTTGAAGCGTGCCATCTCTGTCGGTGTTATTGGATACCCCAATGTCGGCAAGTCGTCCGTCATTAACGCCCTCACCGCACGTCTGAACAAGGGCTCGAGCAACGCATGCCCAACAGGTGCTGAGGCTGGCGTCACCACTAGCCTGCGCCAGGTCAAGCTGGATAGCAAACTCAAGCTGATTGACTCTCCCGGAATCGTCTTCCCCAGCTCCAGTGACAAGACTACCAAGAAGAACAAGAAGCAAGAAGAGCAGGCACGCCTGATTCTTCTCAACGCAGTTCCTCCCAAGCAGATCGAGGATCCCATCCCCGCAGTCAACCTCTTGATGAAGCGTCTATCCGCAAATGAGAATCTCCTCGCCAAGATGCTCGAGTTGTACGGCATCACCGCCCTCTTCCCCAGCAACGGCGACAAGACCACCGACTTCTTGGTCCAGGTGGCCCGTAAGCGTGGCCGTCTCGGAAAGCGCGGTATCCCCAACATCGAGAGCGCTGCCATGACTGTTATCAACGATTGGAGAGATGGTCGCATCCAAGGCTGGGCCAATCCTCCCGTGCTTCCCGTGGTCTCGGCAGATGCTCCTGCTAGCGATATTCAGCCTGGTGTCGACACCACGAAAGTTGTCACCGAGTGGGCCAAGGAGTTCAGTATTGAGGGTCTCTGGGGCAACGGACAAGGTGAGGACGAAGAGATGGCCGAGTAAGGGCTGGTCTTCTTGTTCGCGTTATGAACTCATTATCTCATTTGATTCTATCTTTCTGGATACCAAAAAGTGGGCGTTTTATGTTGGCATTCCATCCTTCCCTCGGTTCGATCTCAATTTCAGTGGTATAAAAACATCAGTAAAAATGAATCTTTTCCATTAATAAACCCCCAAAAAATACATAAATCGTACTGCATATTATTGTAGAAGTGAAGATATAAATATAAATTGAAGTACGGAGTATAATACCTACATGTAGACATCACCGCCAAGCCCCCACACTCGCGCATCGAGAAATCCAACGCGTTGGCGCGTCTTCCCTACTACCCCCGAACGTCCCATCTCCAGAGTCCAGAACCACAGCTCAAACCTGATTGCAATCCTAAGACCTCTTGAGAAAAGAGAAACAACCAGGCTATAACTCGATTCGATATCCAAGGGGGGGGCCCGAATTCTCAAACCCCCCGATCCCTTGAACTACAAACCAGCACCTACCCGCTACGAACCTACAAAAATGCCACCTCGCAAATCCACGTCCTCGGTGACGCCCGCTGATTTAGATGACTCCCTGCTCCAGCAGTCACCTGCAGCACTGCACACCGACAAGCCCGTATTTGCGACGGAGCAGCAGTTGAAGGCTCGGGCCGAGGCGGGCGCGAGTGTCGAGGTAAGACAAGAGACACAAACATACGTTGCTATTACAGAATGATATTATCTCCTTTATAAACGGCATGTGAACAAAAGAAAAAGGCTAGGCTAACGCTATCTCCGGTAATCTATAGGACTATCTCCTACCACGCTCACTAACAATTCGTCTTGCCAAGTCGGTTCTCCCGCCGAATACGACAATCCAGAAGGACGCCGTGTTGGCCATGCAGAAGGCTGCTACGGTGTTTGTTTCCTATCTGTCTTCACAGTATGTTTTTAACGTTGTCCTGCCCCGCTGTCCTCGGCCTCTGAATTCGAGTCTGTCCAAAATATGGGATGGTTAATCTCGACTTGCTCTACTCCATATATCCCATGGTATGATATGTTGAACTAACTTCGATGAAATTTAGCGCCAATGATGCAACCCTCAAACGCACCATCGCACCAGCAGACGTCTTCAACGCCCTCTCCGAGCTAGAACTCGACTCTTTCCGCGGCAGACTCGAACAGGAACTCGAGGCATACACTGAAATCAAAGCCGGGAAGCGCAAGCCAAAGAAGGCTGATGCGAATGGCTCGACGCAGGATGCGTTAGGCGAGAGTGCGACTCAGGCCGATGGTGATGCCGAGATGCTTGATAATCCTGCGAAGAGGGTGAAGCGGGCCGGAGATGTGGAGGTACATGTTGGTGCGCCTGCTGGCGATGATGGGGATGAGACTCAAGAGGAAGACGTCGAGGAGGAAGAGGAAGAAGAGGACGAGAGTGAGGATGATGAAGAGGAGGAGGAAAATGGTCCGCGTGAGGATAACCTTGAGCATGTGGAGGACTTGGACCGTGAGCCTGGTACAAGGAGGGGGCCTTATGATCCTGATGCTGAGGAGACAGACGAAGATGAGGACGGGCCTGGTAGTCAGTTGCGGGATGATCTTGGGTTGGGCTAAATATCTACGCCATGTCAAAGAAATATATGTGGATGAGCTAAGGACAACTCATCCTAGATGGTATTGGAAGAGGTTGACTGGCGAAAGGAAAGAATGTTTCTGCTGTACTATACACACACATAATGACGAATGGATTTTATGCTGCGCTCTGTTGATATATGTTTGGAATACAGTCGAAGATGGCACGTAAACTTGTATGAAGTGCAGAACATATATGTATGGGAATCCTTGTCATGAGGTATAGTTGCGCAGGAGTTTGAATAAATATATATTCTATATCAACCCCAAATGCCCTACTGCATCAAAGATTACAGGAACAAGAAAGAGAGATCGGTTATACATATTCCCGCGAGAGCAAGGAAAATGGATTAAACAAGTTAGCACCTAAAAAATGGTGTAAAGTGAGACTTAAGTTAGGGATATACCATTTAGATAACCCACATATAAACATCCATACAGATTAGCAAGAGTGAAAATAAGAATAGAAAAATAATTGAAAAATAATTGAAACAAGAAAACCCCATCACGCCGGATTAAGCCAGCTTCTTGCCCGAAAAAAAAACGCCTGAGCCAGCCCATGCGAGAAACCGTAGTCTATCAATGGTATCTTTCGAAAAGAGGACAGCAGCAATCATCAACCTAAAGCAAACGCAGATGATGCAAGTAGGAATACAGTCCACGAAGAGGAAGTATGTAAACACAAGCGAAGAGATAAAGTTCCAGAGGAGGAGTGTGAAGGTGACACTGGAAAGGACGAAGAAAATAACACCAAAGGACGCCGTCTTGGTAACCATGCATCATGTCATGAACTCGCAGGCGACAAAGAGTAGAATATCAATATTATGAGCGGAACACAAAGCAGTCAGGAAGCCATTGGTTGAGGAAGAGACTCTGAGTCGAGTATGATGTCTGTTTTCTCGGGTTGCTCTGCTTTGATGGGCAGAGTACCGTTGTTCCTTGGGGCCCCCGCTGGAACCGGTTGCATGGCTTTGACATCGACCGTTGTGCCAATTTTGCCAGCAGATTGAGAGGTTTTGGTAACACGGCTGTTGCTGCTGAATGAAGTGATGGTAGCATTCTTCTTGACCGGGGCACGCTTTTTCGAGGCAGCGGTTGTTGCAGCCTTCTTGGGACGAGGATTGGGGGCGGGCTTGGTGATGAACTTGGAGGTAGGCTTGCGAGTAGTAGGCTTCTCGCTCTTGTTGATAACGTCTTTGATGGATCGCCCATTGCTTGCTGGATTTGCGAGCTTGAGCTTTGAAACTTTGGTGACCAGCTTTTTCGCGGGCTTCTCGTCGTGACTGGCAGAAGGTGTTGCGAGACCAGTATCTGCGCGAGGTCTCTTTTTCGGTGTGACAACAACGGAGATGTCGTTGGAATTGAAGATTTGGGGAATGGGCTCGGGTGAACATTCGTACATGTACGGGGTAAGGTCCTTCGACTCCCACGGTTTCAGGTTAACCTGGCGTGCAACTTCGTCGCATGACCCCTGGACGATCAAGTCAAAGCAATTGTCGAATTCTTTGCCGCTTGGTGGCTCATTGTTGATGAACATCGTGACGCCATCCTTACGACTGCGGATCATTGTGCACAAGCTCTTGACGAGTCGACGGACTCCAGGAATCTTCAAGCTAGTACCGGCGACAACAAGCACGCGAGGACGGGACTTGATATCGGCATTCATCACGGAGGTAATTGCCTCTTCGTCGGGGTTGTGCTCGTTGTAGAGGACGATGCGCGGGCGCATGCGGCCGATTCCGTGACTCCGCTGACCGACGGCCTGGCGATTTATGTCGTTCAAGGAGCACTCATCGCAAGCGGGCGGGTCTGCTTCCGTGAAAATGTTGGGATTGAAGTCGGCAAGGTAGCGACACTTCTGGCATACCATCTTCTCAATACTGCCGTGCAGTTGAATAGTGACCGGCCAATTACCCTTGATATTAAGTGGGACCTCAGTTGCCAGTGGCTCCATAGAGGTTTCAATGCCATCGATATTTTGGGTATAAAGTCGCTTCAGGCGAGACTCGATACCTAATCGGGCAAGCATTTGGTGGAAGGCGGTGGGCTTGATATTGGCAACCTCCTCGGACAGCGACCGGACCATTTCGTGGAATGGCGCTGTCAATGCATCATCCTGATAGACGGCAGCATCGAAGAGAAGCTTGCCGGATGCTTTTAGGTTATGTTTTTTTTGCAATGATTTGAAGAGGCCGTCTGTGGAGCGAAAGTCCGGAACTATGTGTAGTGTTAAAGAGTTGGTTCAAATCCGGCAGAATCCCAAAGCAGAAACTTACTACCCGCAGCCGTGGAAATTCCAGCGCCGGCGATGACGACAATGTCTTTTTGGTGACGCAGAGTTTGAACAAGCAAATTATGTTGATCATTTTGTTCATAGAGAGATTTGGATAGATCGAGATATTGAGTGGTCCGTTCCTTTGGTAAGGGGTTGCGTCTCCTCTTTGCGGGACGGGCTTGGCGTGCAGAACCCTCAGCAGACTCAGCTCCCTCTTGGGATGAAGGCGTTGGGTATCGCTCTGCTGGCTCCAGTGACTCTGCTATGGGTGATGGAGGTACGGAGCTCAAATCCGATTCATCAGATGAACAATCGAAATTGAAATCTCCCATGGCTGCGTGGGAGTTGCGACTGGGCTGAAAGGTGTAACCGCGTAGGAGAATGTCCACCCCCAGGGGGAGTCGGAGCGAAAAGAACCGGGTTGTGAAATCTCCAAATTGCTCACAGACCATAGAAAACCTCGAAAAGAGAAATCATATGTGTTCAGGGAGTATAGACCAATAAAGATCAATGACGTGTAAGACCTGTGAGAAAGATGGAAGAAAGATAGAAAGGAATAGCAGTGTAGGAGTAGGTAGTGTGTAGGAAGTTGACGATGAGGTCAGCGTTGGGGGGAAGAAGGGGGATAAGGGCATTAATGAAACTCGTGCACATCAGGACTCTATGGGCCGGAGAAAAAAAAATAATCAAAAAGGGCCCGCAGGAAAAACAGTCTTTGTTTTGGGCCGATGGTATGGATTCCCGTAGGAATGTGGTTGAAGTAAATTGATTTGAACCGAAATGACCAGAAAGGGTGGGACTCGATGTTGTTTTGATGCGAACATGCGACATGCAAACGGTTGTGGGTTTAAGACTACTCCCTACTACGCATATACTTCGGAATAAAGAGGGAAATAGTTCCAGTAATAGTCTCTTTGGTTCGTTGGCTCTTTGATACATCTCTTTGAAACCCCCATTGATTGTAGGGTTTAGAATGGTCAATTGCCATTTAACTCTCTAATAGGGACCTTAATATCTCACTATTGTGCTCTTCCTGTTTTTCTTTTATTTTTCCTATTTTTCCTCTTATTTTTCCTCCCATTTTTTTCTTCTATCTTTCATGTTTTGACAGTTCAAGGAACTAGCGGTGATTCGCTCTGCTATATAGTGGATCACCTGATACTCCCCTGATTGGTCAATTATCGTTGGCAGGGCTACCTGTCACCTGATCCCAGTCCATGTCACGAGGCCTGACTAAGCAATAGTGAAATCCACTGGTCCCTGGAGGTCCAGGCGCTGACGGCATAGCCATCTGGGTTTGGTCTATGGTCTCCCCCTCATATTGAAATCTGGAACTGTTGCATTGACTGTGACATCTTTGGTACTTGGAACATCTCTTCGAACATTAGGCATCGATCTCAGGAATCAACCTCCCCCTTTCTTGACCAAATAATAATAAAGCCATCTGATATTCCAATGGTCCGGGGAACTCTATGAAGCCATGCCGTATTGATTCCCTGATTATCAAAAACACTTGACTGGTGTTCCGACAAATATTATGCCCTTGATCATGGAAGACGGTATCAATGTGGATGATCTCTTTGGAGAACCCAACTCCCTGGAGCTGGGCTTGCCGGCCCCCTCCCCAATCAAAGGTTTAGCGCAATGCCTAGATGAAATGCGTCTATTAGGGTGCTGCCAGTAAGCTTGGAAGAATGCTCCACATTTATGTTCCAAGAACTAACAACCTTCTAGGAAAGTTGCCTGGTCTCGGATAGGATGTATTGCATCTATTGCCCCAGACGGACTCCGGGTCATTATCCGTCATCTCCAGTGCCGTCCATCAGATGGTAAATGGTTGCTTGGGGAAGAGACACCTATAGCCCCAGTCTCGGAGACCCATAATGGCAATCAATTGGCCCATTTATCATGGAATGAGGCCGGTTCAGAACTGGCCGTTGTTGACTATTCTGGTCGCATATCAATCTATTCCATTTCTATTGCATTGAACAGTATCACAAGCTTGCGCCAGGCCTCATTTGACTCCGGCGACGATGGCAGCCAGGTTGTTGGAATGATGTGGCTGAACTCCCAGCGTTATGTGCGTTGAGCCCCCTTAGCATTATCAAGATAGGAGCGAACGGATTCTAACATGGCAAAATATAGGTGCATGCATTTCATCAAGCAGCTAAGGTGAATGGTCGATGGGCATACTCGCCTTTCCGTCGACGCCCCATCGGGCCATTCCACCCAGCCAACAAAGCCGCATTGATATGTGTGACCAGAGCCGGCCAGATAAAGCTGATATATCAAAACCCTGACAGCAAATGGGCTGAGCTGCCAACTGAACTGAAGAACACAGGATACTCGGACAGACTATTAACGCATGCATCCATGACCGCAACACAAGGTATTGTCTCTCTGTCGGGGCTCCATTTCCCGCCGTCACTGACATATTGAAACAGCTGGGATCCTTCTCTCCACCTACTCCGCATGCCAGAAGATGTGTCTTTATAGAGTGCACATTACCTGGAACCCACCACAATGGGAGGCAGTACAGGGAAAACCGCCTGGCCAATTTCCTATTCCCAGCTTCCGTTTAATCCACTGTAAGGTCGACATGCCCAGCAATATATTGAACATCAACCGTGGGCCGGACCACTCCGATCAGTCTTTGCCGTTTTTGAACTCGGTATACTCGTTGACACGATTAGAGATCATGCCGGGGCAGTTTGATAGCCCCGCGGGGTCCACTGCCAATCCTTGGATTCTGGCTGTCTTATCGAAGCCCCTCCATGCCATACATGACTATCCAGACCAGCAAGGTCCGCCGAGCGTGATAGTCAGGTGGCATTTGGAATCTGCACCGCAGACCCTTCATCCTAAGTTTGACGAGGTGACGTCAAAAAAAAGCAACACTCAAGCAAAGGTGCGAATTTCTCTGGGGTTGTCTGTCCTGTCGAATCGGAACTGACCTATCATCAGCCAAAAATGGAACTACGCAGGATGGAGGACATTTATTGCGAGAAATATATTGTCTCGGTCGATCTAATAGAGCATGGAACAGTTTTGGCTGTCAGTCATGACGACAGCTCAATAACATGCTACGACACACGGACAATGACTGTTTTGAACGGTCTTGACGATTCAAACACAGTGGCTTGTCTGGCCCAGGCCGGGTTCCATTTCCAACTCGAAAGATCAGGTATGTCTGGAACTGATACATCTTGCTTTCGGATATGTGGCGAGGACTGACACGGATAGGCCTTCACATTGCTTTCTCTCCTAACGCTTGCCTTGCCGTTACGCTGGACAGTGACGGACATATGCAATTGAGGGTGATGGAGCATTCGTTTGGATCCACAGATGGTATCTATGACGAGAGTATGTGCTTTCTAGATTATCTATTAGACCACCTGTATGAAATAACAATGCTGACCGAGACATGAAGACAATTTTTCTGTGGCCATTGCGGCATTGACTTTGGCATTCAGTCGAGGCTGTGGAGTTGATATCAATACAGACGACATCCTCATACTTGCTCTCAGGCAGCTATCACCAGGTGAGTGCTTTGAAGACCTTCGTATAGATTTTCATCAAGTCCGCTGACAACCCCCAAAGAGGCTCAAACCACATTCATCAGCGAGGTGTATCGTGCACTGCCGATTAATTGCAATTTCACAGCCGAACAGGACAAACTCATGAGCCACCCGTACATACCCCGTTGTCTCAGCTTACAGGCCGGATTGGGCTTCAAAGGGAGACTCAAGCGCCGGAACCTCTCATCGACCGTGCCGTGGGCAAGCCTCCAACTCAGACATGCCTCGGTTCTATTTGCATACTTCTTCCAGTATAATAAAGTGGGACCGACCGAATCGCATGATCCATGTGAGTTCAAAGAAAGCTAGCTCGGCTATTGTGATCCGTTGCTAATCGAAACAAAAGATGTTCTACGCATGGTATTGGGTAACGCCAAATGGACATTGGACTTCTCCCACTTTCTTCTAAATGAAATCTTCGACATGGCCGACGATTTCGAAGATGTTTTCAATGATTCAGAAGCATTCACGCAGAAATGTAAGGAACGTCCCATTACAAACCCCAGCTTCAAGCCCACTCATCTCACTATCTTCATAGTGAAAGCCTCATCCTCCCTCCCCCTCCTAATACTCCTCTCAAGCATGTCTCGCGCCTTCCTCCGCTTCATCTGCCGTGGGCTCCGCGGCGTCCATGCTGGCTACACAAGCGCAAATCCCGCCTCTCTTCTAGGCGACTCCCGAATCTACTACACAGAGATCTGTCAAGTACTGGAATCATCACCAGTCCGGATTGATGTGTACGAGAAGTTCCTAGCAGGAGTCGATTCAGCCGTGAAGCACGCCTACCAAGGCGCAGGCTTCGGCGATGCCGAAAAACCTGGCCCGGAAAAGGAACTGCTGGTTAATGCGCGCATCCCGCCAGTCCTCACCACAGCCGTGGCCACCCTCCTACGGCAGACAGTCCCCGCGCTCAGATCAGAAATCAACCGCATGGGCATCTACCTCGGGGACTATAGCTGGCTTGGTTTTGCGAATGACCGACGCACAGCGCTATACCGTAAGCAGCGTGAGGTCGATATCATTAAAAAGTGTCCGCTGCGTCCGCCGTTGCCGTTGGGGAATGATGGTCGTGTGGCATCGCTGAAAAAGCGCAGGTGTGCGCGCTGCTGTGAGGTCTCTGGTGATACGAATCTGCCCAGGTCAATTCTCTCGTTCAGGATGATTGCTAAGCTAGGGTTGTTGCGGTCTTGTCTTTGCGGGGGGATGTGGGTTCTTGAGACGGATACTGGGGATGCTGGGGTTAGGACTGCGAGTGCGAATGGCAATGGCAACAGGGTTGGCCAGACTTAGAACATCGGTCAACGTTGAAATTCGATACCATGCCTCGCATTCTGGCTTTAACGGAAGGCAATTTTGTGTTGGCTGATCCAGGATGTGAGGATCTGTTAGTTTTTTGGAAAAAATCTCGGGCATACTTGTGGGGTGGTATGGTATTGGGAGGTCTTTGCATCTAGATTCATTTGTTGATTATAGCTATATATCCTTATTTCGACTTTATTTTTGCTTTGTAGTTGAGTCATGTAGACTAAAAATGCAGACCATTCAATGTATATTGTAGAAATGTACATCATCGAGTCTGGCAGATCATCCCACAACTGGAATGTTCACTAGTCTTACATGAGAGCAAGAGCAAGGAATCTTGAGAATGTCTAAGGTCATGTCATGTCAAGAGTCGATTTGCATCCTATTTAGATACATAATCAAATTCCATTTTTTGGATGTAAAAAAAAGAGAAAACCGACCCCTCCACAAGCTTTCGGATCCACAGTCACGTCCTGCTTATGTCCAAGGCCAGCAACGTCTTCCCACAAAACTCCCATATCCTAACAAGTTCTGCGTTTAAGCCTGAAATAGATCATCAGTATTCTGTTCGGCTGATTCGTTTCGTCTGATGGGTGAGGTTCTTGGTGGCGAGAGCAAAGGATAAAAATCTATGAACCCTCATTCCACCTATTGCCTGCCCAGGATTGTCGGAGTATCATACCTTAACGGCGAACTTCCGCTGGGGGAAGTGGATAGCACGCTTGCGGAGCTTGTCGGTGGTCTGGGTACGCTCGTGCTTGGTGAGACGGCGGCGGATCTCACGGGTGAGCTTGGGGCGGAGGTCGAGCGGGAGGTACTTCTTGTTCTTGTAGAACAGACGCAGCTGAGCGCGCTGGTTGGCGTTGATGACGGTGAGAACGCGAGCGATCGACTTGCGAACCTCGCCGCTAAAAAAAAATTCCAGTCAGCATCAAATCTCGAATATCGATGATCCCAATATCGTTTGCTTTGCGGCAGATCGTATAATTCTTCTCTTCCTCGTTCGATCCCTTGGTTGAAGTATTGGCGTAGTCCTCCTCTTGTATGTTGTCTTGCCCGGGGTCGATCGTTCCCATGCCGCAAATCTTCAAATTCCTTCCGCACAAAAATCAAATATCGGGGGTGTCGAATACGCACATTCTCTGAGTCTTGGAGGAAGCGCCGGAAGAGATCTTCTGAACGCGGAGCTGGTTAAGCTCCAACTTCAACTCCTCGAGCTGTGTGGCGAGCTCATCCTTGTTCTTGCCCCAGAGCTGACCAGCCTTGACCTTGGACGACTGCGAAAAAAGAGCGATTCATCAGCATTTTGATATCAGGGCCTTTGAACAGCACTACATACCATGGTGGCGTTGAATTGTGTGGGTTGTCGACGTTGAGAATTGAAGATGTCCGGGTGTCAATTTGCGACTGGTTGTGGGACTAGGGCTAAGCGAATTTGTGATTTTAGCGGGTGCACGTGATACGGTGGCACTAATGCCTTAATTTGACGCCTGAAGTTTCCGGCGTTTTAATGCCTGGGCTCTGGGGCATAAACTTACTATATAAGGTTAGCGCGCTCTACCCCGTCATGGGCTGGCACTTACGTAGACAAGCAGGTAGCACCTCGGCCCTTGCACTTGTTGATTATTTGGACTGAGAAGACCTCCTAAACAAATCAGACTTATCTAGTGACTGCATCTTCAAACTCCGCATACTTTCTGCCTGCTATGGCAACCTCAACTGGTTCCGGATGGACACAGCTCCGGCAACAAGCACGGTCGCTTGAAACTCAGGTACCAATATCTCGTCACTGGGGGTTCTATACCAATGTTTAACTGACACACCGATAGACCGAGAACCTTTTCCACACCTATTCACAATTTGCCTCAATTACCAAACCTCCACAATCACCTACGGAGGAAGAGCTACGACTTGAATCGCAATTGAAAGGCCTCCTCGAAAGAGTACGTCCATTCATCAACATTCAACAGGAAAAAAAAAGTTCCGAGCTAATCGACCTCTGTACAGCGTGAGACTCTCATTGCCCAACTATGCCGTCTCCTCGACTCCGAAGCCACCCTCACCTCCTCCGCCGTAAAACAGAACAATGTCTCCCGCCACCGCGAAGTACTGCAAGACCATCGTCGCGAGCTCCAACGTCTGACCGCAGCCATTGCTGAATCACGCGACCGCGCAAACCTACTCTCCAATGTCCGTTCAGACATCGACTCTTATCGTGCATCCAACCCCGCCGCCGCCGAGGCCGAGTATATGCTCGAAGAGCGGGGCCGAGTCGAGAACAGCCACAGTATGATGGACGGCGTGCTGAGCCAGGCGTATGCCATCAATGAGAACTTCGGTGTCCAGAGCGAGACAATCGCCAATATCAATCGGCGCATTGTCGGTGCTGCGGGAAATGTCCCTGGTATGAACTATCTGATTGGCAAGATTGGAAACAAGAAGAGACGGGATGCTATTATCCTGGGATGCTTCATTGGCTTCTGCTTTTTAATGTTGCTTTTCTTCCGGTAAAGTATGAATGCGAGGCTCCGACGGCAGGTTAGTTATATCACCGCCCCTTATGTCTTATTGTTCTTGTGCCGATTGCTACTCTCCAGCGAGTGGATTTCTCTTGTCGAAGGCGTTTGGGTTTGGGCATGTTCCGAGTCCCTCTTGATGGGGGATAGGACAGAATCGATGATAATTCTCGTAACAGGGTCTTGAAGGCGCCTATTTGTTATACTTTCTATTATACAGATTCTCTATTGTATGTACAAATTCAACCGAGAGCGGAATAAAATCACATCCAAGGCTCCAGTTCCGATAATCCTTTTCACTTCAGCCTCAATTAGTACTTGCGAGACGGGTCCTGTGCTCGGAGGGCGGCCTTCTTCTCCTCGATAAGCTTCCGCAAACCAGTATTAAGCCCCTGCAACTCAGACTCTTCAGCTGGTCCACTCCCCGCCCAACGGATGCGACACTCCGAATCAACCAGGTAGACATAACCGACCTTGGAATTCATCATTCCAATGGTCTCCTTGAGCGCCTGATCGAAACCCTTCTGCACAAGGAAGTAGCGTGAATGTTGCGCTGCAGGCAATTTCTGCCGCATCCGCCACATGAACGTCTTAATCAGAAACGCCTTCAACCGGTTCTCCTCGAGATTGATATCGATCCTCTGCACAAGTCTTCCACCGCTGGCCAACGCCTCCACAAGTCCCGGATTCTGCTTCGGCCCCGTAAAAGTCGCAACCTGGCTCTCAGCCCACATACTAGAGAACAAGTTTACGACGGAGATGCTGCCGCGCAGCTGCGTTGTCGTGTTCTGTGGATCCTTGGGCGATGCTAGCGTTATGCCGTGCATATTCGGGAAGTAAAGGGCTTTCTCGGCTTTGAACAGCCGTGGGTTCGAGACGAAGGTCTTGCCCTCGGCGAAGCGGAGATTGGACCATTCCCGGAAATACGGCTTGGCGACTTGTTTTGTCCTGTGAGTTGCCATTGTTTGTTAGTACTGCTTTTGCAAGCTTTGTTGTCTATCCGGAAGAGGAAAAGGAAAGCAAGCTCGTACAATTCCTTGCGCCGCTTAATGTGCCGGTCATAGTTCGTAAAGTCGTCGCGCCGCTGGCGCAGCGAGCGCGTGTCAATACCTGTGTTCTGTCCTTCTAATGGTGCTTGTGGGCTACCGATAGGCCGGTCCAGGCTCGGAGGAACGAAGTCTGCGTCGCCGGGTTGAGGTCCATCCTTGGAGGACTGGTTCTGTTTGAAGTCGATAGCAGTCGATAGGCGGCTTCCCTCGTTTCGTAAGTTTCGTTTCACCGGGGCGGGATCTTTGGTCTCAATGGGCTTATCAGTTTTGCTGGAATATTGGCGTAGAGAAAAGGGTTTGGTCCGTAGCTGGGAGAGAGTTGCTGGGTTGCGGAATTGGCAGCTTAGGCAGCGGCCGGTCTGCAGGAGGGGGAGGTCGGCCACGAAGGTTGGGAGGGCAGATTTCCACATGTTGGCTGACAGTCTATCACTGAGCTGTGTGGCGGATTGTGAGGCTATTGTTTTCGAACTTCATGTGTTTGATCTTCCATGGAAATTGAAAGTCACATGACACACTATTTCCATTTTAGGAATCATTGTCGATGCTAGTTCTATCCTTGTTGGAAGCCATATAGTGCAGAATATATGTTATAGAATGATGATATATAATTAGAACTACCTATACCTAACAGAATACTAAACCTCAATTATATATTTCTGGCTATAGGTCCGCTATTGAGTAGTAAATACCTACTTCATATTGAATCACGTGAACTGGTGCCTATTTCGCGCCGGTCAATCGCGTCTGTGTCCACGGGTCAGCGAAAATGGCCCAAGGAAGTTCTCGGACCATTGCCTTTTCGCTTCTCACACGGATCATACGAGTCATCCGTGAATATTCCACGGTGACTCCCGCAGGCACCTATATAATGAATCCCTGGCCTAGGCACCTACCCCTTCTTTGGAAACCCGACTAGCCTACTATGAAGGACCAATTTCCGAATAAAAAGAGCTTTTTTGAGGCCCTTGACCGACTGGATGATCCGGATGAGAGCTGGGGGAGTCTCATAACTTCCGCCGACAAAGAAGTTGACAGACCTAATCCAAATAAAGCCGCTCTTTCCTCGGAGTGTATTCCACTTTCTCGAGCAAATTCAGAGCCTATATCCTCGTGTGACATTCAGAGGAAGAAAAGCAGTCCGGTTGCTGTCCCCAGACCTACTCCTGCGAACCGCCCTCGAACGACTGGAACTCTGCCTACCATCAAGAACGGAGGACCTCCTCAAAAGAAAAGAAAGACCAACAATGCTAAGATAATCCCAGATGACCAGCAGATCTTCAAGGGATTGATCTTCTGTAAGTACTCTAGACTTCTCACATCCTACTGTCCCTGAACTCTTGATTCCAGTCTTCTTCCCAAACAACGATGTATCTCCCTTCCGACGGTTGCGCATTCAACGAGCACAAGATTATGGTGCACGATGGAGTCGAAATTGGGCCACTGATGTCACTCATGTGATCATGGACAAAGACCTGCTATCAAGCGATCTCCTTAACTACCTCAAACTCGAATCTCTACCAGTCAGTTCATTCGTGAGATATTCAGACTTCAGTATTAACTGTCGCAGACGAATGTTGCTCTTGTCAATGAATCCTACCCCTCAGAATGTATCCAGTTTCGTTCGGTTCTTGATACCTCACACCTCCGATTTCGTGTGAATGGAACCCCGACGACCGAGAAGGAGAAGTCTGCAGTGACAGAACCACCACCCCCCGATTCCCTTCCATTGAAACAATCGCGGCGGGAGAAAAATCAGTCCCCGAAATCTTATTTGTCTCCAATTGAGGAATTGACGCCAAATCCATTACCAAAGGACTTCATGGAAACCGTGCCCGAAAGTGTTTCTCACGCCGTGATCTCCGAACCGGTCCATGAAACTGAAACGGAAGAGGCGTGTGAAAGATCAAACTGGGAGCGAGATGCGCTCGATGATATAATTGACGAAGCAAAGGCTATAACTCATCTGGTAAATCCTCTTATTTGTCAGTGGGGGCTCACACAGCTGATCTTTATAACTAGCCTCTGGATCCACTTGAATCTCCCATTGACGAATCTGCTGCTGATGCCTCCGATATCGAAACTTCGAGCTCAGGGGAGGAGTCAAGCTGGAAGACACCAAAAATACCCACTCGAAAAGGCAAAGGCAAGGACAAATCTGACTGGATCAAAAATTTTGCCTGTATGCAAAAGTTTGATCCGGACACGAACCTTGATAATCCAAACAACAGAACAGTCGAGATACTTCAGCAAATGCTAGAATACTATACCCAGACTGCAGACCAGTGGCGGATTATAGCCTATCGCAAAGCTATCACCGCTTTGCGAAAGCAACCGAACAAGATTACTACACAGGCACAGGCTCGGGCCATCCCTGGTATCGGAGAGCGGTTGGCTGACAAGATCGAAGAAATTGTACTGACTAACCGCCTTCGTCGGCTCGAGAACACCAATAACACCCCAGAAGACTTGATAATCCAGGAATTCCTCGGCGTCTATGGTGCCGGTATTTCCCAGGCCTCCAAATGGGTCGCTCAGGGCTACAGATCTCTAAAGGATTTGTTGGAAAGGGCTCCATTAACCAAGCAGCAGCGCATTGGGGTGGAACGCCACAGCGACTTCGCACAAAGAATCCCCCGCAAGGAGGTCGAAGCCCACGGAGCGATTGTGCGAAAGGCGGTGCAGGCTGTGGATAGGGATATGCAGGTGATAATCGCGGGCTCTTACCGCCGCGGGGCACTCACCTGCGGGGACGTAGACTGTCTGATCACAAAACCTGGTGCCTCACTGGAGCAAATCCGCACCATGATGCTTGGTCTTGTTGTTCCCAGATTGTTCAACAGTGGCTTTCTGCAGGCCAGCCTTGCCATCTCGTCGCATCAGGATGGATCCAAATGGCACGGTGCATCAGCCCTACCTGGCACCACCCTGTGGCGTCGGATAGATTTGCTGTTCGTTCCCGATGCAGAGATCGGGGCAGCATTGATATACTTTACGGGCAATGATATATTCAACCGGAGTATGAGATTGCTGGCACGCAAGAAAGGCATGTGCTTGAATCAAAGGGGTCTTTTTGGGGATGTGCTTCGGCATCAGCAAGTGAAACTAAATGGGGGCCGGCTGGTTGAGGGCCGGGATGAACGTCGGATTTTTGCTGTGTTGGGTGTACCTTGGCGGCCTCCTGAGCACCGGATCTGTTGATGCAGTTCCACGGCCTAGGATAGCCTTGATTTCATCCATGGGCTTATGGGAGTATAAGCTGCAATGACAGATATTCTTATCGTTGTTATACAGTATTGGCTGTATACAATTATGGGGGAAACACCGAAATATATATGTAGGCACGGGAATGACAATATCTTTGGATTGACGGTTTTCCTACATGTAGGGATACATAGTATGTATGCTAACGATTCGTATTTGATGTGTATCAAGTAGATAAATATTACCAAGCCCACAAAAAAAAAAGAAATGAAAAAGAAATGATACATGCATAACTACCCATACATTGAGTTTCCATACAGAAGGAGAGAGAGAGAGATTCAGAGGGAGAGGCAGTCACAGTGGCACAAAGTGACTAAGAATTCCTCTCCCTCCAATACTCAACTTTCCTCCTCCTCAACCCCATCCCGTAACAACTTCTCCTTGCCCTCGTCTCATATTCAATTTGATATTGAGGCATTTCTTCTTCTTCTTTCATCACCGCCTTTCTCCTACCGCCTTGAAGACATCACCGCCTTTCGTGCGGTGAAGCCTCCATCGCGTGTTCCTCCCCTTGCGACTCCCAGACCGCCCTCTACTGCCCTGGGTTTTGCCCGCACATCATTCAGTCATCTTGAGATTTGTTTTTTTTTTTGTGTTTCGTTTTGAGTCTCTTCTGAGGCTACTGGTTCTATCCGAGGGTCGCAGCCTGGGCCTTTCAGTCCCCAGCGACTGTGTGCGTGATTTTTCTCCCACATCCCACATTCCGCGTTTTCTAATTCAAGTCCACAGACTATCAGCTTGGCGGGACTCACTGCCCATTCTGAGTGAGCGACACGTCGATTTCTCTGTTCGACTGTTTATCGTTACTAGACCTCAAGTTGACACGTGAACCCCTCTCAAAAATACGTACACAACTACCCCCACAATGGGTCGCAAACCTAACCAACTCATCCTCGAGTTCTTCCACCGGGGCCCCAAGCTGGAAGACGCGAGCAATCGCTACCAACATACGTGCAAAGCTTGTGGCGAGGTATTCCCAAAGGGTCGCATTGATAGTCTCACCAACCATCTGGTAAAAAAATGCCAGGCGATTCCCCTGCGCGACCGCCAACGCGTGTTGTTGCGACTCCACGAACTCCCCGACTTGACCGACGGAGACTCGAACAAGGATTCCCCTTCTGGAAATAAAGGCAAGTCTGCCGATGGTGGATTCCCCAACCGACAGAATTTCGACGGTCTCAACGTGTTGGCCGAAGCCTCGCGACAGGTGGGCGCTTCGGACGTGACCAAGCGTGGACCTGGATACACTCAGTCTGTGACAGCTGGAGGCAAGACTGTCATTGTTGACCCTGCACTTGAAGCAGAGGGATTCCAGGGACACTCGCAAGCACCTGACTCCAAGATGGAGGGTACAGCAAATGCCGAGGGTATGTTCTCCTTTTGTTCACTGTTGCTGGCCTTAGACCACTAACAATTTGCAGGAACCCCCCAATCATCCAATGCTCCTAGTATTCCTGCCCTGCCAAGCCACACTCCGGGCGAGCACCCTTCATCCATGTCGCCGCCCCTTGGCGATGCGTCTATGTCGCCTGAATCTACCTCTAATGCGCGCCAGTCCCAACTGTCGATGATTGCGGCCTCTGCCAACGAGATGGTCCCTCAAGGAATGTCAATTGACAGTGACAACCTCAGCTCTGATATGAAGCTGGGTCAATGGAATCAGCTGTCCACACATGAGCAACTTCTTTTCGATAGCTTGCAAGAGCATGACCCCTCGTTGACTGCTGCCACCCAGCGTGCGGCATCTTATCCCCGCCCCATTGCAATGAACCCAAATACCCAGGCAAAAGGATTCGTGAACGAGTTCGGTAACTCAACCAAGCCAATGAAGCCCAAGGTGCGGGGACGTTTTACCGCAGAGCGACGCCGTGAAGTTCAAGACGTGCGGAAGAAGGGTGCATGTCTTCGTTGCCGAATGCTCAAGAAACCGGTATGTATTTGTGAATCTGTAGACGTGGGAAGTAAGTGAATATCATTAACAAATATTGATAGTGCTCTGGCGATACTCCTTGCACAACTTGCGCTAGCGTGGAGAGTGCTCGTCTATGGAAGCATCCATGCCTGCGCACCCGCCTCTCCGATGAGTTTGAACTTTACAATGCCAGTATGTTGTCTCTGTTTTGCACTTTTCCTCGAAGATATACTGACTTGGTCTCTAGATCTCAACTCCACACTTGCCTACCATGACACGAACAGCATTAAAAACCAAATCAAATTCGACCACTACTCCGGTCGCATTGAAGTTACCCACTTCGAAGAGAGCAACTCTTTCATGACTTTCAGTGGACTTCAGGGTCATCGTACTTCCGTGTCTGCACTTGACCCCCAGTTGCAAGCCCTTGGAGATGACCAGTTCTCTGGACCCTCGCAAGAAGTCTACCTCCTGGACGCCGACTCGGATGACATTCCAAGCAAGTTGGAGATGTACATCAAGAAGAATGCTTCTTACTTCTACGAGCGAGAGACCTCGCCTTTCATGAAGCCCACTTTGCTTCTTGCTGCTGAACTTAGTCAGGGGAAGAAGGTACGTTGTGTGACATTCAATGTGGAAACTTGTATTGACATAGATTTAGGATATCCTTCTGGAACGTGTGTTGGAGCTGTGGGTCGCGACCCATATTCTCGTCGATACTGAACTCACCTGGAAGACTTACTACAATCCTACTCTCCCTCCGAACTCGTTGCACTCTCTGTCTCAGCCATCAGATGAGGGCCGTCTGCCTATTGAGGAGTCCACTGACCCAGAGTCATACGGACTTCTCTGTAGTCAATTGCGCGCCGCTATGGAGAAACGTGCCTCGCAGCTGAGCAAGTTTGTCATCAATGATTTGGAACGTCGACTCCTTCAGCGCCAGAAGTGTGGCTGGTTTGATACTTTCATTGTTGCTATTATCCTCCTGAACTGCGTGGAACGCACCTGCTGGCTGTTCCGCTCATGGGATAACGAGAACTTTTCGCAGCGCGTAAGTAGTTGTCTATTTTTTTCATGATGCATCTCACACTAACAAACTATCTAGTGGCCCCTCGATAAGCGTCCTCCCTACTACTTCAACCAGTCTGACCGTTTCGCCGACATCCTGGAGATGCTCTTGCGTATGCGCCACATTCCTCCCAAGGCCACTTTCCGCCCGGACAATGGTGTTCTCAAGGCAGTCGACGGTAGCGATGAGCACGCCATCCGCTGGTTTGATATGATTCAATTGACCCGTACGTCACTTCACACTGTATCATGATTTGCACATATTTGATGTTCCTTGACTAATATTCCTGTTTGTGCAGCCTACTTCATCGAAGAACGCAAGAACGCCGTTTTCGATCCCTCCGACTCACGCTCTCTGGATTGCCACCACAGTGCCAATCTCCTTGAACCCAACAATGCCACTTAGCTTCTGACAAGGAAAATCCGACAAGAAAAACACAAAATCACGACAAAAAGTCGAAAAACACAAAACTTCGAAAAAAAAGGAACAACAATGTCCGAGTCACCTTTTTTCATCCTTTTCGTTGTGTCAGTGTAGGTCAATTGCTGGTGAAACTTGCCATTACGAAAGCGATAGCGAAATGCATGGCATCAGTCCAGGCCTCGATCTTTCTGAATTGGGGCTGGTCTTGGGTCTGATTTGCTTATTGGAGTTTGTTTGCAGGTGGATCTATTTTCAAGCGAACTGCGATAGAAAATATCGGAATTGATGTGGAAAGTTCTGATTTTTCTAATCGGGTGTTCGTGGGTGTTGAAGGGGGTGTTTTTTTCTTTCATTTGATATCTGTAGCTCTAAGGCTTTTATCCATTAGGCTTGAATGTATGAAGTAAATGTTATTTTATCTCTCAAGTAGTGTTTTATATATAGAATGATGTAGGTGCATGTGCATGTGAACCGAGGTTGGGCATACAACATCAAGGACATCAGGAACTGGGTCAGGGGAGACCAAAGAGAATAAAATAGATAATGATAGATGTTCCTTTATATTATTATGTTATCATCTTATTGGCCCCTTTGATCCTTCATAATTTCATAACTTCTCGGATGACGTAGGGAAATAATCGAATGATATGGGGCAGTTTCAACCTGTGGACCTTTCACAGAAATGCCGAGCCCCAGACTTGACTTCCTCAACAATGCCTCCATTTCGCAACTTTCTAGGACGAAAGTCCCAACCCAATGAGGATCCTGCTGTCATTGATGAGAACAATCTCTCTTCAAATCAACGCCCTGCACCCATACCAATTCGCAATAGCCAGGATGAACCCACTGAGTACAAATTGAGTGGTATGTTGAATCCCCCCGCATTGCTGTGACTGCGTGGCTGCTGTGGCGACTTGGCTCTCTTATAATTCTAACATCGGTCCTTAGTGGTCAACGACAGCGGTGTCTATCTTCCGGTATAGGTTATGTGATCGGGAAAATACGATGCACCTACTAATTACCACCATAGCCTTCTCCCCCAGAGCGGCCGAGTTTCTGGCGCCGGTACCCGGGCTCCAATAAATCCATCAATCATCGAGATCTTGTTGATGAGAATGAGCCTTTCTCTATCTCTCGCGAGTCCTTTGATTCTTATCGCCGATCATTTGTATGCCCCGCGACCCGAACCGATCCGCATAAACCCGGCTGACATGAAATCTCCGACCTAGGATATCTCTGCCCGCTCACCCATCATTCACCCCGATGCTGGTCCCTCTCGAACTTCTCTTGACTCTCGATTCTCCCGATTAACCCCATCGGGCCCCCACTCCAACGGCTTCACCAGACCTGACCCCATGGAGGAAGAAACCTTCGAAGAAGTAGGCCTAAATGACGAGGTGAAACCTAAGAAGAAGGGTTTCCTCTCCAGATTCAGTGACACCACTAATGATGCGCCATCACCCGGGCCCAAGTCTTCTACCTCGTCTTTCAATTTCCACATTCCAGGCCGGAAGCGCGGCCAGAGTGGTGTCGGATCAGAACTAGGATCTGTGAAAGTAGATCACTCTGCAACTGTGCCCGCCGATGATAGATGAAGTGATGAGCGAAATGAGATATGGTTAATGCGTTGTGATCCTCTCTACGGCGTTTCGGTTTGTTTCGGGTGATGCAAGCCACACTTGTTCAAGGGATAATATAATTTGGGACTTGGTCGATGATAATGGGATCACCTTGTTCCCGGAGAGTCTGGGTGGCTCATGTCACTTATTAGCATTTTGTACATCTGTTGCCATCGAGTTGCGACTCGAGCCATCTGTGCTTCGTTCAGAGACAATACCCTACATTTTATTCTCATAGAACTTCCATGGCAATCGCCTTTGGACCTCCATATATCAGTCAATCTTATTTTCTGTAAGATACCCATACAAAATATTTATTTTAATACGTTGCCTATACGTATATATGTACATATTATTTTGAACCTGGAGTAAATACAGGGCTATGTTGTATCTTATCGGTGCAAACTGTGCAAACAGCCGGCAAAAAAACTTCCTCCGCCTGCGATCAAAAAAAATTATCCACCAGGACATCGAGCAGTCTCCGCTCGCAAAGACCCCAGTTTTATTCTTTTTTTTTTAGAGATACCCTACAGCCTACGGAAATCATTTTTCATCATGGCTGGATTGAAGCGTGCTGTTGACGGCAGCGAGGAGCGCAATGGCAAGCGGAGCAAGACTAAGGAAGGCTCCGCATCGAAGTCAAAGTCCGTGAAGTCAAACTCTTCATCTAAGAAGGACCCCAAGAAGGATTCTAAATCCAGCAAGAAAGACAAGAAGCCCTCGAAGAAGGTCCAGAAGGACGAATCCGAGGACGACGATGACTTCGACATTGACGATGTCTCCGACGAAGATATTGATGCCCTTGATGCTCTTTCAGACGATGAGATGCCCGATGTGAGCGAGGAGGAGGAGAAGAAGCCCAAGGAAAACAATTGGAAAAAGACTGTTCCGGAAGACGGAGAGCAGAAAGAGGCCGCCCCAAAGAACACAAACCCCAACCCCAACAGTAAGTTTCAATTCTGCTTCCCTGACGGCGCCTCATCTAATCATTATTGCGCGCGTTTAGACTCCCGCGAATCTCACATCAAGCAAAAAGCACTCCAGCAGGAGCGCAAGGCCGCAAAGCCCAATGCCGATACTGTCGCCCGCTCCAAGAAGTTGTGGGAACAGTTGCGCCGCAAGTCCCACGTGCCTCTGGAGCAGAGAAAGAAGCTTGTCAAGGAGCTGTTTGAGATCATCACTACCCGCGTCCGGGACTTCGTGTTCAAGCACGACTCGGTGCGAGTCATCCAGACTGCTCTGAAGTACGGAAACCTCGAGCAGCGCAAGCTTATTGCGCATGAGTTGAAGGGCACTTACAAGGAGCTGGCGCAAAGTCGATACGCCAAGTTCTTGGTTGGAAAGTTGATTGTCCACGGAGACGATGAGACCCGCGACTTGATCATTCCAGAGTTCTACAGCCATGTCAGACGTCTCATTCGCCACCCCGAGGGCTCATGGATTCTCGACGACATCTACCGCACAGTTGCGACCAGGGCACAGAAGGACAGACTCCTCCGCGAGTGGTATGGTCCTGAGTTCGTTATTTTCCAAGATGAGAAGGAGACCACTTCTGATCTCACCAAGATCATCGAAGCCCACCCCGAGAAGCGTGGACCCATCATGAACTACTTGCGCGAGCTGATTAACCAGCTGGTCCAGAAGAAGAGCACTGGTTTCACCATGCTTCACGATGCTATGTTGCAATATTTCCTCAACACAAAACCCGGCAGCAACGAAGCGAACGAGTTCATCGAGTTGCTCAAGGGCGATGAAGAGGGTGATTTGGTCAAGAACTTGGCTTTCACCAAGTCCGGCTCCCGTTTGATGTGTCTCTCGCTCGCATACTCCAACGCTAAAGACCGCAAGCTGCTTCTACGATTCTACCGCGACACCGTCAAGGCTATGGCCGGCGATGTCTACGGTCACCAGGTTATCCTTGCCGCATACGAGGTCATTGATGACACGAAACTTAGCTCCAAGTCCTTCTTCCCCGAGCTTTTGAACCAGAACGACGATGCAGAGGCCCGCAACGAGGAACTTTGCTACCAGGTCAACGACTTGACCGCACGTATCGCTGTGCTATACCCCTTTGCCGGCGAACGCGTCAAGTGGCTCCTCCCCGAGGCCGACCAAACCGTCCTCGAAGAAGTTCGCGAGGTCCGCAAGGAAACCTCTAAGAAAGACCCGGCCATCCGCCGCGGAGAACTCGTCAAGGCCGCTTCGCCCACACTGCTCGAATTCATTGCTGCCCGCGCCTCTACCCTCCTCGAGACGACCTTCGGCTGCCAGTTCCTCTCCGAGGTGCTGTTCGAAGCCGACGGTGACAAGAGCGCTGCTCTCGCGGCCGTGGCTGAGGCCGCCAAGTCGCACACCGAAGCCCGCGATACCGCACACGCGGGACGTCTTCTCAAGTCTCTTGTGCAGGGTGGGCGATTCAACCCGGCTACAAAGTCCATCGAGAAGGTGGAGCCTGCGTTGAACTTCCACGATGTGCTGTACGAGCAGATCAAGGATGAGGTCATGGACTGGGCGACGGGGGCTAACCCCTACGTGATTGTCGCGCTGGCCGAGTCAGAGGACTTTGAGAAGAAGGCCGAGCTGCTCAAGACTCTGAAGAAGAACAAGAAGGCGCTGGAGCAGGCCTCGGCGTCCGTCGTGAAGGACGGAAAGACGAATCCCAGCCCGACTAGCAGTGGTGCGAAGTTGTTGCTTTCAAAGATCTAGATATAAGCGTTTCTACGGGACTATGGCATGTGTAATTACGTTGTATACAAAAAAGCATACATTTCTTTTTTTTTTTCTCTTTTCTCTTTTCTCTTCTCTTTTTGTCCCTATAATGAACGTTGAAACCTCGGGATGTTCCTGAAATTACATTCTCCACTCCTATACACTTATACGGAATATGGATGGACGATCTCAGGGGTTCGTCCATTTTTATTTTAACTATAACAAAGGAACCTTGGAACTGTTCAGCTGACTGCTATTATATAGATCAACAAAAAAATGGATCATATCCTTACTGCAACATTTGAACAATGCATCGTATATTGTATGTACTCTGTACGTTCGTACATAGGAATACATCACATCGAGGACAATATCTGATTATTACATGATTGGCGTGAAACAATCCCAATCAAAGAAGAAATTATGGCATATAGACATTATTTACCTAATCTTATCATTATTATACGAGAAAACTTATTGTCGAGTTGTATATATAGGAAAATTCGATCTGATCTATCAACTGTTATTTATAGCTAATACTACTTAAACATATCTTTATTTACAATTGCAAGGGTAGTCGAAGCCTAATCCCCAATTTACCTATGTTGTACTCTTTGTATTAAGCGATAGGAAACTGGGAATATCTTCACAACAACAACATCCCAATGGGGCAATGATCTCGGCACGCTAAACCGTACTTTGTCTAAAGGGGAGAGTCCTTTTCGAAACTAACTGTAACGGTACCCAACCCGTCCACGGCTTGGATTTTGCGACTTCAGCCCTTTCTCTCCTTCCTTCTACCCATTCTGTACGGAAAAAACCCCCCAGGCCCCGGGGCCTGAGAGAAAAACAATGCCCTCACTCACTCTATCAAACCCGGACATGATCCTGCCGTACGAAGACGAACGCCAATCCCAAACTCCCTCCCCACCCAAAATCGCCTACTTGTCACATCTCAGTTCCCGCCAATCGGACCTCAATGTCTCCATGTCGGCACCTGGCCGACAAAAGAAAAATTTTTCCCGTCATGCCTGGACACATGACGACGTGAATGTCAGTCGTCGTCTCTCGGATATCGGCGAGGAGCTGTCGCCCGCCGGATTGGGATTCGGCGATTCGGACGAGCAAGAACTGGCCAGCTCACCGCTACTGCATGACGACGATCACAACAGGGATAATGCTACGTGGAGTAGCTCCAATTCCACTATCAGTGCGGGGAGCAGACGCGCTTCCGCTTCTAGGGATGTGCCTGAGGCGCATAACGAACGCAACGAATCCCCTGTTGACCCCGAAGTCGTGAGAGCGCAAGCTACAGCGATCGTTGGAACTGCAGGGGATTCTTCTGTGCCAGCGAGCAACGCCGTGGCGTCTGCAGCTGCAGAGGGCAAGGGGCCCGGGGAGGATATTTCCTCAGCGATATTGAGCAGCGAGGCGGAGAGGATCCTGGAGAATGCGAAGAAACGGCTGAATGTATGTTTATTTATCTTGTCTTGCGCGCCGCAAGCTGGCCAGGGAGAAATACTAACTAACGTGTTTTGTTTTCTCAGCTTATGGAAGGCAATCTCACCCGAGCCCGGTCAACAACGCGCACCACCGCCTCCCCCTCCCCCTCGAATTCGAGCTATATCCAACCAATGGGTTTGCACCAGCCTGTGGGTGGACTTTATCGGTCGATTTCGCGCACAGATCCTAAGAGCTCTTCGCTGAGACGGCAGTCGCTTATTGCGTCGCTGGATACGACGAATAACCGTCATTTAAGAGGCCAATCTGAAACAAATATTCCGTCTGATTCGAGCTTGAAGAATGACAGCAAGCGCATCTCGCGCTCTGTCAGTGCGATGGGCGCAAGCACTTCCTCTAGTCTTCATACTGATAACCGGTCCTTCCATTATGAACCCACGAGGGCGTATTTGACGCACCGGTCATCAATTTCTTCTACTCGGCCCCCGATACATGTGCATGACCAGGACCAACAAAGCCAGACCGCGCAGTCGCCTGTTCCCACCGAAGACAGTTCGTCGGACTCACCACATGGCTTGGGCATTTCCTCGGGCGTTTCCTCGGAGGGATCGAAATCAAGCCCGGATGGTTTCAGTCCAGTCTACAGCTCCTACGGTCCTCCTAGCCGCGCGCAGTCGCAGCTTCAGGTGCGCGATCTCCAGTATCAAATGAAGGGTCTTCATATCAAGATCTCTTCTCTCAAGGTGAAGACCCAGGAGGATAATCTTCGCCGGCGCAGCTTGCAAAGTTTGCGCACGCCCAGCCCATTGACAGCCGCTGATCACTGGTATGCGAATGCGCTGGAGCTCAGAGATGGTCAGAGCAGCCGTGGCTCTAATCCCCGACGTGACGGCAGCTTTGAAAACACCTGTGATGTTTCGAATGATATAGCAGCGGAAGATCGACGTAGATCCGATGAGCACGCCACTGGCAATACATCCAAACACGCTGGGAACTGGGAAGGCAATGAGCATGCAAACTATGCAGACGATCAATCTGTCGCCGAGACCATGTATGAAGATGCGGAAGAAGGTGAATTTGATGAGGACATTGACCGCGAGGCTCTGGATGAGATATTGCGTGAACCGCTTGACGACGACCTCGAGAACGAGATGGAAGCCTTCCCTAACGTGCCATCGCACCCAGATGCGACGCCCCACGAGATGCGCGAGGATGCGTTTGACTATGAACATTTCATTTTGCATAGCGCACTGGGTAACTACACTCAACAACTTCGTCGAATGAGCAGCAGCTCGAACGGATCAGTCGCGACAAACCGGCCCCCATACACAGCGCGACACTCCCGTACCAACAGCGGTATGTCGGATTCGACAGTGGCAACCTTTGCAACCGCAAACGAAGGCGAGCGTCCCGACGACGAGGACGATATTGACAGCGTCATGTATTGGGACCGACGGTTCAATCATGGTTCGTTCCCGCGATCTATTTCCCCTGGCGTTTCCGACACTAATCCTTGGACAGAGTTGCGACACGGCCATAGCCATAGCCATAGCCGTAACCATTCCCAATCTCATGGCCACGGCCATGCAAACAGCCACAACTACCAGCCAAGTCCAATCCAAGAAGTCGATGCCGAGGGTGATCGCTCCGAAACACCCCGCGGAGCACGATACGACGAAAACGGCGACACCACCCTAGTTGACCCGAACAATCTTTCCCCTCATAAACTTAATGGCCGCTCATCCTCAGCTACGGCCGGTTCTGCAACCCCAAACTCCCTTGTCTCGTCCCTCGTCTCAACTGTGCGCGCAGCATCCAGCACCCCCAGTGTCGGTGGTATCAACGATGATGATACACAGATGCTGGAAGCGCTGTTCAGCAGCTTGGGTAAGGTTTGTATGGATTTGCAGGCAATCACAACCTCTTCGGATCCAGATGTGAAAGCTGCCCGTGTGCTGCGGCGCCGTCTGGATGCTGCGCGGAGAGTGCTAGAGGGAGAGCTTGATGCTTGATTTGATATATCATTCTTGTCTTTTTCTTCTCGTCGCTGCATAGTGAATGATGCCATATACCATGATTTATCCCTGATTTGCGCGGGATTGACTTTCTTTTGTTTCTTTCACTTGTTTTTATTTGGCCAGATTACCATGATACCCATTGTTTTTTTTCTTTGTGTGATTTTATTGTACCTAGGTGATCTAGAGATTCTAGAGTAAAGGAATAATTAATTAATGTCATGATCAAGGCACGTGTAGATTTAGTCTAGATATCTATATGTAAGAGTCCAAGTGTAGGTACAACAATCATAATATTCCTCAATAGCTCCCCTCTATTGAGCTTCTTTTTCTCCCTCTCAACAGATATTCAATTTCTCATCTCTTTTCATCTTCACATCTTCTCATCTTCCTACAACATCTTCACATTTGCAACTAAATATCCCCCCCTTTTTGCCCCGCGATCTCCTAATCGGGACAGTGATCGCCCCACGATAAGCAGAGCCTGTCGCGCCCTCCATACACGCCACTGTCAACAAATAGTAAGAAGCCCATGAACTATATGCAGAGAGATAGATCACCATCCTAATAAACACCAGAAAACGCGTTATCTCTGAACGCCGAAACCAGAGACACAGCGCAAAATTGCAAGGAGCCAAAAAAAACAACACCTAAAAAAAAAAAAAGAATCAGCCAAACTGAACAACCCATCCCCCCAAAACTCAAGCCCAAGAAAAAAGAAATCAAACCCAAATCTGCGCAAAGATCTCTTGCGCTCTCTGCATACTCAAAAAGCCTTCAAAATGAGCATGAGCGCCAGCGCAAACGCAAGACCACCTCCAACAGCCGGGCCACCATCGCACGCCTCGCGCCGTCTCCTCATCTTCCAGGAGACGCGCAACCCGCAGAATGTCGCAGAGACCATCTACCTCCCCGTCAACAAGCTAGGTTTACCCATCTGTGGATATGGTCCCGAATTGCCTTCTATTCTGGAGTTGCCGCTGCGGGTGCTGAGGGTTTTCACGGATATTTTTAATCAGCCAAAGTATAAGGGATGGTAAGTTTTTATTCCTTTCGCTTTTCTTTCTTTTTTTATTTGAAGTCGTTTTGCGATTCAGGTTTATTTTTGATGTGTTTGATATCATTCGAATGTGAAGACGCCATATGCTAATTTTCATCGTTCAGGGCCGTCGTCTCGGCTGGTCGGTACCATGATGTCTCAGAAGAAGGGAAATTTTATGCTGTGGTCTTGGAGCAGACGCAGAATACCTCGGTGCATGCATCGCATGAGACTCATATGGGGACTCCTTGATGGATTGATTTGCGTGGTTTACTTCTTGCTTGTCTTATGTGTGAAACACTGATCGTATGTTGACTCTTTTCGCGTTTTATTTTGTATGCCTTTGTACCATTTTATCATGCTATCGTTAGCGTGTTCAACTTGTTGTGTATCCCAATTTATATTCAAGTTACCCTCTCCCAAAATGGAGAGATATTGAAAGACAGACATGGGCATCCTTGGGTAAAAGAAAAGCTGCATCTACACACCTCGCAAATCGCGATACAATCGAGATCCCGGTCGTGGATATTCCAGGGAGCGTTACCAAAGAAGAGCTTGCACAGAGAGACAATCATAGCTACGATGACCATGGTTGGAATGGGGATCTAGGTTAAGACATGCTATGGAGGACCATCACCACCAGATCTACCCGAAAGTGAAAGTGATACCGAGGTTAAAAATCTGGCAATACTCGAGTAAAGCTGTCTAGCTGACCAAGACTGTGGCCCAAGATACAAATATGATGAGGGGATATGTCAACTAGGCTGCGACAAAGATCAGTATGTCAAAAGGAACATTGTAAGTACGGCCGCTATGAATATCGGTGGTTTGTGGAATTGGGATCATCTATTGGGACATTTATTTTATCATTATTTTCAAGGTTGCGTCTGGGTATTTTATACGTGGGGTTAAAAGGAAAGGAAGGCATGGTTGGGTTGGAGGTCTCGGTCAGGAATAGAGACAAATATAGGGGATGGGGATGTTAAAGAAAAACAAAAAATAGTAGTTGTCACACCAAGTTGCCAAGTTCCCTGTAACAGGACGGTGTCATCTGGCGACGCCATCCCGGGGTGGAAATGTCTCTGCAGAATTGCTTCCCTCAAGGGTCATCTCCATCGCTTAATGGCTTCCAGCGTCGTGGATTACTCGCACGAGTGAAAATGCCAACCCCAGGATTCGTACCAGGCACCTTTCCTGCTGGCCTTGCGGCCGAAGCAGGGTAATTGGCATGGCGGTGAGCCTTCCACTGGGTTATCCATGACAGATTAAATTATTACTGTTGGTATTTGATAGAACCACTACATCATTTTAATTGATATGTAGAACAATAGTTATATAGAACTCTTAGTTCATTAGGATATAATAGTTATTCGAAGATAGATATAGCTTAGGTGTTAATAAACAATGGATAACGTTTATTTCGTTTCCTATCAAAGTGCCTATTTTACACAATCATTCCATTTAATAAACATAAATACATTTATTTTCACGCATGCCCAGCACTCGACTAGCATCAGAGTCCATCTTCAATGATTCCAAGGCTCATTCCTCACATCGCCCCGAGTCAATATCAGCTTCGGCAGGATCCACAAACTTTGGGCGGCAAGCAATTTTGTGCCCAATGTATAGCACTGCAAACAATAACAAACTGAGGTAGTTGATAAAAAAGTCCGTAACACTGAATTTCGGAATGAACGCAGTGAACCCTTGAGTGATGATGATAAGGACGTTGAAGAACAAGCCGTACCATGAGAAAAACGGCTGCCAGGAAGCCTTATATGGGAGAGTGTCGCGTGAGATACCCTGTGCAGCCAAGGCTCTCATAAATGCCAAATGGCAAATATTAAGAGATGCCCAGGTAATAAAGCCTGCTAAGCCAGCAATCTGCATCAACCAGTTGAAAACAGTGGCTCCAGCATTTGACACATTGAGGAAGCCCAACAGGCCAAAAAGAGCTGTAAACCCAACACTTGCATAAGGCACGCCGTGTTTGGTCGTTTTCAAGAAAAACTGGGGAGCGAAGCCCTCATGAGCCAAACCAACTAGAATCCGACTGCCGCTGTAAACGTTTGAATTCGCCGCGGAGAGGACCACAGTGAGTAGTACTGCATTGATGATACTAGGCAGAACGTTGACACCGGCACGTTTCGCAGCGATCACAAAGGGGGACGCATCTGCATTTGTGTCACCGGAGGTAAGGCGTTCGTCGTTAGCTGGTACGACGATACCGACGAAGAAGATCGTAAACACAAAGAAAAACACGATGCGGAAGAAAGTCTTTCGAATCGCAGAGGGGATATTCTTGCGAGGATTTTCCGTTTCACCCGCGGCAATACCGACAAGCTCGGTGCCTTGGTATGAAAATCCGGCTTTGATCAAAATGGCCCAAAATCCGACGAATTTAGCCAGTGCATCTTTGCCGGGATCCTCGATCAGATATGCACGGAAGGGGCCTGGATGAACCCAGTATCTGAATCCAAGATAACCCTCCCTGCCAACACCAGCATTGATGCAAATGGCAAATATCATAAAGCCGACAACGGTGATGATTTTGATACTCGAAAGCCAAAACTCGACTTCACCGTAGCAGCTCACAGGAAACATGTTCAAAATTATAATCACAACCCAAAATACAGCAATGAAGATTGCCATTGGGATTGTGTCATCCCAATATTGAATGATTAGGCCAGTAGCTGTCAATTCAAGGGCAAATGTCGAGGCCCATGAAAACCAGTAGATCCAGCCCATTGCAAATCCTAGACTGGGATCAACCAGCCGCGTCGCATATGTAGCAAACGCTCCTGCGATTGGTAGGTAGGTGGCTACCTCACCCAAGGCTATCATGACTGAATACACGATTGATCCAATGAAGGCGAATGCAATCAAGGAGCCGACAGGGCCCGCAGTAGCGATAGCACTTCCACTACCGATGAATAGACCTGTTCCAATGGCACCTCCTTCAAGAAGATAAAAATGAGAATGAGAATATAAATGTTACATATATTGGAGAGTTCTTACCCATTGCGATCATCTGTAGATGTCTGCTTTTGAGCCTTCGCTGCAACTCCGGCTGCGGCAATTCGTGTGACACGACATTGCTGTGTTTCTCTTGATTTTCTTCGTCCTGAGTGTGCATCCTCTCTGAGTGCATTCTCTCAGATCGAATTTGGAGTTTTGCTAGAAACTCAAAGGCAGAGCCGCTTTTTGAAATCTCAAATTTGATTTTTCTGGATTCTGATTGGTGAATAATTAGGTTGTGGCGTTAGTCATGTTCATAATACAGATGCCTTGGTGCCTTAACTTAAATACGAGAAAGCCAATTGGTTCATTTGATATCTACATAAATTGGCATCTAATACTACTATACGGAGTAGAAGATCTCAGACATTTGTACCTATATCTTCCCAGAAAGGGAGACATCTGAGTCCATCTAGAATGTCTCAGTATCTTTTAATTTTGTGCGACGCTGGATGAGTGGGAACCATTCCGATCATTTCCCAATATGGTCATCCTTCAGTAACAGGCTTCGTTCCATCCATGTCGGCAGTGCCGACCCAATAGTGTCAACCTAGCCCTGGAGTGTACCCGAGAATGTCGAATATCCTGATTCTATCAATTCGGTAGATACTTCCTGGCGAATCTTCCAAGGTTGTCTTGATATGCGTCGCACAATTTGATCACCTTATATATACCTGTGTAACCTTAGAACCCTGACTTTACTATCCATGGATGTACACGTGCATCTAGTATATTAACATGTGACAGGTAGCCCTCTTTTGTGGCTGCTGTATCTATAAAGTATAGTCATCTTCTCTTCTCCCCTACTTACACCCAGCATCTGTCTTTCTTTTTCTTTCACCTACTTCTTTCATCATCCAAAATGGTGCTTGCCATCAGTCCTGAGATTAAGGCAGAGATTTGTCAAATCTTACAAGCCTTTCTTTTGGATATAGATTATAAACTTCTTCCTCTGCAAATATATCCTGCAGTGGAAGACGAAGTGAAGCTTCATTTCAAGAGTCAAGGCTTCTCAGATGAATTTGTCTCGAAGATCCACAGACAGATCGAATCCAGTGTGGGAATCGCAACAACGGCTTTTCAAACAACCCCGTTCAATATACAATGCACAATCGCAATCTTCACTACTTATGTCCTCGTTATTGACGATTTTGTCAACGATCTCGAGTTCAAGAATCACCTAAAGCGATTTAATATTTGCCTCTTGACCCGAAAGCCCCAAGGAAGCCCGTTCCTTGAAAGCATGGGAGAGTTCCTGAGCTCCTTTTCTTCTATCTTTGGCCAATTCGCCAGCGACATGATCATCAAGGACACACTGCAATTCATCAGTGCATCTTACGTAGAAGCCGAGAGCGAGAATCTTCGATTCCCCCCAGAAGCAAATCTATTCCCTACCTACTTTCGCCTGAAAGTCGGTGCGGCCGAAGCATATTCCTTCATGCTGTTCCCAATTGAGCAATTCCCCGAAGCCGAATGCCTCGGACACTACCTACCGCTGATACCAGACTTGATATGCGCTTTTAATTGGATAAATGATATCATGTCGTTTTATAAAGAAATGGTTGAGATGGAAGAATTCAATTTTATCCAAAACTCGGCCAGGTGTGAAGGGCTCACGCAACTTGAGTTTCTGAAGAAGCTCTGTGATGACACAAGCGACATGATTCGGAATTTGCGTACACGTGGGAAAGCTTACCCTGGGCTATCGAAGGTTATTGAGGCTTTTTTATCTGGTTATGTCATGTACCATATGACGCAGACGCGGTATCGAATGGACGATCTGGATCTGACATTCGTTTCCTGAGACCTTCCCAGGTCTTATCCCCGGCAAGGAGGAGGTAGACCTGGCACTCACCCGCCCCGCGGGTCCGAGATTAGGAACCTCCACCCGCACCTCAGAGGGTCAGGGTCTAACCTTACCGACCCTGACCCTGACCCTAACCCCTAAGGGTCCCTTGAGGGTCACCCGTATCGACCCTTATCGACCCTCAAATATATAATTTCTCCCCGCCTTTCCTATTTCGGACGTATAAATTAGATAATTTAACTTCTTAAAATACTGTTATTTACAGCTGTTCTAGTATACCTCTAAATTTTTCTTATCTTTTACTATAAAAACTTTCGAAATATAAAGAAATTAAATTGTAAGCTAATACCTTATATATCGTCACCTTAGGTTTCTTAGTATCGAGTAGAAAAATCTTATTAAAGGTTAGTTTTAATAGATAATATAAAATATTTATAGTATAGTAGTTAAAATATATTGAAGTATTACAAGGCGAATGAATACTTGTTGGGTCACGTGAGTGTCACATGCTGGATCATGTGACCGTTCCAACCCAGACTCGAATATCAAAATAGTTAGCATTCTCGATCCTAGTTAGTCTCAAGCAATCAATCAATTATTATCAATATCTACTGTATAGCAGGATCACCGCACCAATAGATATATCTGATTCTATTGTATTCGCTGATAGGTTATAAGCCCTTTCTGGCTCTCACTGAGCAGTGTAACTCGCTTTTTTTAATCGCTAAGACCCAGAGTGGACCAGTCTACGGGACGGCCCGAGCCCTACCCGTAGTCCCTATAGGTCTATAGGACGTTTTTGCGACGTTACTAGTTATCCAGAAAACCCTCTGATCCGTATCCGAGAGCTTAGAGACTTATAGGATCTCCGTGGTCCTAAGTATCCAGTGTACAGGAACCCCCTTATCGATAGGAAGCCACTAAGGTTTTCGACAGACAATATTCTTAGACTACTTCTTCCGTACATTACCTTTATATAGACAGGAGATTCAGCTAATTATAAGCCACAGAGCTATTTAGACGATACGGTGTTACCTTTACACTATATTTTTATCCTACTCAGTGTGGAATTTTTAGATTATATAATCTAGGTATAGAGTTTTTACCCAGTTACGTAACGTAAATATTGTAAATATTGCAAATATCAGAGTTTTATTAATAGGAGGGAGTGGATCCGATCTTCTCTTCTCTACAATTCTTTTGTTAACTAATCTAATTAAAATTCTTAAATCTTTTTATCCTTTTTGATACTTTTCTATTATCTTTTTATTGAAGACCTATAGAAAACGTAAGAATTTATCTAAATTTTAATAAAGAGACAGTTTCGAAGTCCCTATTATATTTTTTAAGATATCGTTATACTAGGGCGACAACGATACCACTTTAGGTACTAAAGATTAAGGAGTACGTGATATTGTCTTACAGTCCCGTAATTAGCTAAGTGGATCTCGAAGATCTCGCCGACAAAGTCGATCTCTAGAGCGTACTAACTAGGAACCCCGCGCTGACCCCACCGACTAAGTAAACTCCGCCGACCGAGCGAATTCCGCCGACCGAGCGAATCCTACTAACCGAGTAAAAAGAGTACACCGGTCCTCGTTACACTACAATATAATATCTAAAGAAGATAATTCGGAACGAGAAATTCCTAACAAAGACCTAATATAGGCCTCTTTTCTTCTACGAACCTAGAAAATTAAGCTACTCCGAATTTAGAAGCTTAAGCTAGATAGTTCGAACCTTATCCGATAGCGCAGATTTATTTATAACGCGCTAGAAATCAATAGTATTAAAGTAGTAATTAACTCTTCGATACCCTGTCCGAAGAAATTAGACAAAAGATACCTAAGATAGAAATATTGGTCTTTACTTATTTATAGCTGGATCTAGGCCTAAGTGGATAATTGTATTATCGACGTTCTTAAGGGAGGTGATTCCGACTTTCCTACTTACGCCGATGACCTAATAAGGGAGATTGAATTGTCTATTCGTAGTAAGAATATCACCGAAAATATTCGCCGAGAAGTTATTAAATCTTATTTGATTAAGAGAGAAAACTATATAACTGCAGAGAGTTTTATCCTAGCTTATTAGAATCAATATAATAAACTTTCTCGCTTCAATATAGAAGTTCCTCCTTTCGATACACTTTTCTAGCTGCTTAGCTAACTCGAAGATAAATTTCGCTCGGTTAAACACTACTACAAAAATATAAAGAATATCGTTCCGAAGACTTACACTAAGGACGAATTTAAAAGAACAGTTACGAAACTGGCTCTCGAGTCTTATAATGAACTGACTTCGACAGTAAAGCCTACTCGAGACTCGAAGAAATCTAAAATATAAGAAGATAAATCAGCGAAGGGGAAGAGTAAGAAAGAAGATTAAAAGGATAAGTCTACTGAAGATAAGTCGAAACCTCGCTGGAAAAACGCTCCTCTAAAAGGTACTTCTGCTGAAGACTAGGCCGAAGAACAATATAAGCAGAACCTACAGTACAAAAAGGGTAAATATTCTCACTGCGGTATTACTAGTTATATAGTAAGGAGATATTTCTACCTTACAGAGGAATTAAATAAAGGTTTTAAACCTCGTGAAGGAATTTAATATTTTACACTAGTAAAGAGGCGCTCTTAAGATAGGGGAAAAGTAATAGTCGCTCGTATAACCACTGCTAAGAAGATATAGGATTAGATAAATCCGTAACACTTCTAGATAATTAATTATAGCTACAGTAAGCCAATCACTCCTTATAGGACAGATTTCTACGAAATTCGTATATACAAAAAGGGAGAATAAGTATATACCTATACTGGAGTGGATAGAAAATCTACTAAAGCTAAGGGTATTAGAAAACTCCCTATTAATTTCTATAATTTAGAAGGTAGTATCTCGACTGTTATTGTCGAAGGGTACTACTCTCCTAAAGCTAATTTAAGACTAATAGCACCGGAGACACTGATTAAGAACTTCGGTTATTACCTAGATACAATCCTTTATACGCTCGTAAATAAGGAACGCGAGATTATTGGATATATAGTGAAAATTGACAGTCTTTACTACCTTAATAGACCTCTGTACAATAGAGATAATAATTCGGAAGCCGATTTTTCGGATAAAAACGAACTAGATATTAAAAGCGAACCGGACGATACTAACGGGATTGCGAACTGTACAATTTCGGTATATAAGATTTATCGAAGACTAGGATATACCGGGAAGCCGAAAGTTAAATTAACTCTAAAGAATACAGTTCTAGTAGACCTAAACAATAAAATTACTGACTAGGAATTTACCTATAAACCTTATAAACTAGGGAAGTCGAAAAGATAGATTTCACGAACTCCCCAGAAGAGATATAGTTAACTAGGAGTTAAGTTCTACTGTAATACTTAAGAAATTTAACTAGTTAGTATTAGTGGTAAGCGCTACTATATTCTAATTATTGACGATACGACTAGATATATTGATACAATCACTCTTCAGACGAAAGATTAAGTCTCTAAAGCTCTAATTAAGTACACTAAACGACAGTATTTACTAAGATAGAGATTACCTACCTTTTTCCGCTGCGATAGTAGAACGGAATTCTTTGTTTTTAAGAAATAGGGTAAAAGTAAAGGTATAGTTATAGAGATTTCTCTACTGTACACTCCCTAGGTAAATAGAAGATCAGAGAGAATAGGTAGTGTAATCAATAAGATATAAAGGATAATAGGTCTAGACGCTAAGCTTCCGGATAAACTATAGCCTCTCCGAGTGGAAATAGCAGCCTATATCTATAATAGATTGGCGAATCTATACACTAGACTGATTCCGATTACTGAGTTTCGGAAGGGATAGGATCCACTTTATAATACAATAGAGTCTATTGATCTCTCTTTTCTTCGCGCTTAGGGTGAAACAGCTTTTATATATATTCTAGAGGAAAGATAAATCAAATCCTAGAAATCGGAACTATAAGTAACTAAGTGCTACCTTATCGGTTATAAAGGAGATAATAGCTATATCTACTAGGTATAGGACCTAGAGATAAATAGGATTTATCGATCGAGAGATATTACTTTTCCTTTTACAGATTATAGAGACAATAATCTAAAGGGGGATACTCCGAGAATAAAACCGAAACCTAAGGATCTAGATTCCGATAATTAGGGTGCAGAAGCTATAGTTTTTGATACTTTTAAAGAAAAGAAGCGTTATCCTTTTAGGATACTACGACCCCGACCTAGGATATAGGAGATTAAAACTGATTCCGACTTAGACTGCGACAACGCCCACCAAAGTGGAGACACTTTTAGCGTCGCCAAGATATATACGGGCACTCTTGGCAAGGTGGATACTGCCAAGAACTAGTTATATATATAAAATAGCCTAATAGGGTAATTTTTGCATTAATTTTGTATAACGGTGGGCGATGGGTGTCAAATTTCAAAAGGCCCACGGGCTGTGGACACTTTCTAGTGCCCATGGACGGGCGATGTCGCAGTCTATTCCGACTTAGAAGAGGAAGTGACCTAGAAGAAGCTCCTAGAGCGGACTTCGATTAGCCTAGACACTCTAGGAACAGTATAGACCCTTAACCTAACTCTATAGGTTCCGAAAAGGTACTTTGCTATTTAGACTAGTTCTCCTTTAAGATAACTAATTTTCTAGCCTTGTTAGTTAAATATCGAGGTAGTTATTCTAAAGAGACTGGTTCTAAATAGCTAACTAACTGGATCTTAGATAGACAGTTCTCTTAAAGAATTAACTAAAGACCTTAGAGAGAGAGTTAAAGTAAATAGGAAGCTTTATAAATAGGTTTATAGACCGAATCCGGTGAATCTTCCGGAGATATATCTACAATATAAACAGTCGAAAATCAATCCTTTACCGAAAATTCTACCTTAGCCTAGGAAAAGACAATAGAAGGAGATATAGGTTCTTTCTCTAATTCTTAAGGACCCTCCTAATATCCTAATCCCTTCTATTGAACGGTCGGAGATACCTGATTT